CACTACAACAAAGCTACGATTAGACGGTGACAAGCGACTACGTTGTTAAGCGGCAACCTGAATCCTCTCCTTGGCACGTCTGTACGGTTGTAGTGCTGGAACGAAACTAACTCAATGTTGCAGTAGAATTACCAGGCCAGGTCTCCGAACACCTCGAAAGACTTGCGCATTGGATATGTGAGGGACTTACTTACTTCGGTGATCTTCCTGATGTTGGTGGACTGAACTAGTCGCTTCCAAATTTTTCAAACTTAGTTCACCTACCAAGTTCCTTCGCGAACCGTGGTGGCTGCGCAGTGTTCCCAAGCTGGATTTTCAACCGCAACCTTTCCATTGCTGGAGCTGGTGCTAGACCGTACCACTCTCGCTGGCTGAGGGTTGCTAAGTGATTTTAGATTGCTTAAACTAGTGTCCAGATGCTTTAAAACATAGGTTTAATATGAAAAAGATATCTCGAAGGACTTTTAAGATCCAAAAGCCTCTTTCAAAGGTCCGACGTAATCAGGTCCAGTTGTACACATACACGAATGAATTGGCGGACTATGTGAAAAGTATTACGTATAATATGATATGAAATTATAGTATTTAACTAAGACCTTACAACTCTAGTAATTAGAGCCGAATGCATAAAAAATATGAACTTAAATGTTACAAGTCATTAAAAATTAAAAAAAAAAATACTAAATGGAAACGTAAACATTTCCTTTTCGACATACCGACTGTTAAAGAGGAAGTTACAATTTAATATTAATAATTTCAGCACTAAACAATTTAATGAGGGAAACTGTATGAAACGCAGGAGAGATACAAGCGTAACGTTTAATTTAAATCAAATAATATTCATTCCGCGATTCATCTCATATCTCCCTTTTAAGTTGAAATAACAGAACACAGAACTCAAAGGCTATGTATTTTATTTCTTTCACTGGCTCAGGTAACGTGAGGAAAATGGCAAAGCTTGATTATTCGATTTCCTTTCCTAAATTATAAGTTTTATTAAAAAAAACTTTAAATGCGTATATGTGTTGTTGCAGTAACTAGCTCACGGGTCAGCAGGCTTCTATAACATTCAAATGACTGTCGTCTTGAGTTAAAACTTTGTTAAGTAACCACACAGTTGAGCTATAATAGTTTCACACATGTTACCCACAGTCTAATCATTCAGTTAGTTAGCAAAGTCTTTACCGACGATCAAAACATTGGGTCTTGAGAAAATAAAATCTTCTAATCGAATGCACCGGATTAGAATTATTTAACAGAAGAGGAATGTTGTTAACCATTAAGGATAATTACATAAATTTGCATAATATTTTGCTGAAAACTTTCTCGAAATCCGAGATATTTTTATTACTTCCTGAAATATATCACAACTAATAAGAAAACTCATATATTCTTATATTTATTTATTGTTATTTTTTATTTATTTAAGAATGCTGTAACCTGAAAAAAATACCTATGTAAAATCTCATATTCTTTCTAAAAATGGTACAACGTAATAATGCAGATTTTTTTCTTCTTAAAAATAGTTTGTAGTTTTCCTGTTCCTTAGTAGAATTTCACTTTATGTTATAAACGTCCATCAATCGATTTGTAAATTTTAAATGAATTACACAAAAAGTGTAAAATTACAAGCTTAATGTAACATTATTTATATAAAGGAATTTTACATTACCTACTATGATGTTAAAATAGCCAATGATCTAGTGTACATTTTTATAAGTTGACTAATAATTTACAATAATCCAACAGTAATATTAAAAACAATTCTGAAATAACATTGACATATTTTAAAATATTTAGGTTAGTTAGATTTATTCAAGATTACAGAAAATATTTACTACTCTAGTTAAATGCATAAGTTTTGGACTAGTTAGTACTTTAAGTAGATTAATGTAAATCAGTTAATTACGGTGAACATTTCAGAGATGGCTTAATCTATTTAAAATCATTCATACACACCGCGAAGCTGTTAAAAAGAGTAAAGAGGGATTAATACATAAAGTAATGTACCTCAAAAGTGGAAACCAACTAGTTGGTGAAGTTCGTTAATTATTATAATTGGCTTAAAATTTTCATTTCGCATTAATTAAGTGGACTTATGTATATTTCTAAGCTCAACTTTACATCTAGGCTTTGGCTCTCATTAAAATCATTAAAACTGAGTAATTCTTTCTAAAGAGTTTCATATACGCTCTGTTCCTTGTTAACAATTAAATGTACAATGAAAACATACAAAGCCAAAATATAAATTTTCGCCTGTTTCGAACATTTTCACCGAAGTTGTTTACAAAGCTCTCACCCACTCGTAAACACCAGTAGACGACATCGTTAGATGACGATGCTGTTGGCAGAGTGGCCGCGCTGCAGAAATAAGGAATTCACTTTAGTTTCCAATTTCAGAAACTAAAAAGTTTTCTGAATATTATGGAATTCGGACTAGAGAACATCAAGACAAAACCAAAGTACTACTTCAGACTGCAAGTCGATTATCAGTTCCTACCGATTGTCCAATTCTAAGGTGGACTTCGCAACAAGACTTTTGCGGAACCATCAAGGAATGGCATTAAATGTCGACCCTGGCACCTTGAAGTAAAGTAACTGGGATCGGAACCTGGCCATAACACAAAATTTAAAGTTGGACTCTACAGTACGCGCCTAAAGTATGGAATAAATTCAGTAAAAATGAAACAAATTTTTTTTGGGAAAAATCCTCGAACAGGTCGATTTTTAATTTAAAAAATACATATTTTAGCATAAAAGGCGATTTTCAACCCTCATTTGTTTTCCTTGATTCTGAAAGATCGTTTCATTTTCGATCCGACAGTATTAAAATGTTGCCATCTTACATAGGAAAGTTTTCGAGTAAATGACGATTGAATGTTAGAAAACGTAAATTTTATTCATTAAGAAAATGACAATTCCTACGTCAAGCAAATACAATTCATTAAGTTTTCTACCTAAATTAAGTATTCGAATTGCCACCCACCGACTTCTTGACAATACGCAAGTCTGTGTAGAAATTCTTATTGCACATTATGAATTATTTCTGGGGTAACTCTTGTGTATTTCATCTATATTACAATTTTGGAATTGTAATATAGATAGATATATAATGGAATATATTTGGAATTGTAATATAGATAGATGTAAAATATATTGTAAAAAATTGTTTCGTTTTTACTGAATGTATTCCGTACTTTAGACGCGTACTGTATAGAGCTCTTTACGAATCAAATATTATTCATAGTAAATATCTACATATTTTATCAATAAATCATAAAATTTTACAATTAAAAATCTTTTTAACATTCTACACAAATTTTTGCGATCACGTTGCTCCTGGGCTAGACCTTAGCTCTAGCACCCCATCCACCCAGGTATCCAATCCTGCGGTGAAGATCTTAAGGGATAAAGTAAGCTCTTAGAAGCTACAAATTTGCATGTGTTCATAGAAGGCCGACACATGCCCCAAGAATCTTTCATATTTTAGGTACTCACAGGAAACCTCGAGACTAATGCTAGATAAAGCAAAACCTAAAAATGACAGTAACATAGACACCAGAGTACCCATACTGGAAGTGTCTCCACAAAAACATTTAGTGCAACTAGTTGAGAGCTTTCAGAAATCCGTGCCATCCCCAAGGTGCACTAGCGTAGAAGAAGGCAACAAAATAAATTGGATCGCTTTTTTATATTTTCCGGAATATACTTCACTATCGATAGAGGACAATTTACCAGCTCCACGTCTGCACCTCCAAGCGTCTGTTGAGGTTGGCGTGGTGAGGGGAGCATCCGAAAATCCTGCTTGCCTCTTTGTCGGTGAGTAGAAGACGAAGAGACACGGCAAGCAATATACGAGGATCTCGGTAAAAATGAGGTTCTCCCCAGACTAGAGGCAATCGACTAATAAGTAAATAAAAACAGATAATGTTTTGCAGATGGTGCTATTATAAAATTTGAATCATTTATATGAAGATGTATCGTTTATTGAAATTACAACATATTGAACACGAACTGGAGGCTTTGCAAGGTAATGGTCCCTAATACATAACATAAACAACATAATTTTTGAGTGAACAAAAGTGTTTTATGTAGTAACTAGGTATTTACAGTCGAGAATAAGCATACAAATTTAAATTACAAATTTGAAATACCTACCTTATAAGTATTAATTTTAAGCTTACCTCAAAAGAAGGAATTATACGTGTCTACTTTTCATTAGAAAATTAAAGATATATGTAGATTATAAGAGTATTAACAAACTCAATTTTAATTAAATTAAATATTTCCCAGACAGCCATAAGTATAATAGGTTAAAAAAATGTAGCTCAATTCGGGGTATTTACGAATCCAAACAAGAAGTTGTATAGGAACCAAACTCTATAAAGGCTAACTTAGAAAAGATATTTTTCTGAATAACTGTTAATAAAGCGCAATTTTTATGAAATTTTACAAAAACCTATGTTTTTGCCAGGAATTTATTTCCTGGTATTAAAGCAGAATTGAAAAGATATGGGATTAAGAAAAAATACTTTGGAAAACGCCTGAGAAAATATTATATATTTTGAATTTGTTGTTAATGACGAGTACCGTTAGAGTTAAAGTTTGTTATACTACTTTTTGACATACGACATATCATATTAGGAGTTTATTAAGTTTATATTTACTTTATATTACTACTATATTAGTTTCATATAACTCTAGAAAATAATTAATATAAATTTTAAAAATGCTTTTATCCAATACGTAATTAAGTCAATACTACGTTGCATTTTGATGAAAGGTGTGTAAATTAGATTTGCTATTAATTATAAAGTTATATTTATTTATTATTACGGAAATAAATTGAAAAATATTATTTAAGGCGTGATTTGCTATACTCGATACGATATTTTATTTATTAAATCCGAAAAAAACATCAGCTGTTAATTTAGTAACATTCACGAAATATTCTCATTAAATAAAGATGTAGAAGGTAACTATAAAATATGTAAACTTACCTATTTATTAAAGCCATCGCACCATCTGCAACAAAGAACATTTAATAAAGTCGTGTCTTCCATAAATAAGACTAGTTAACTTTAGTTTAGAAAAATTTGCTTATTTTAGCTTACAAAATGTCTTAACTGTTTCATTAATCATGTTGAATCTCTGCAATTTTTTATAACTTTTTCAGTTAAAGAAACATAAATTAAATTAATTTTAAGTACTTAATTAAATTCATTTTTCTTTACTAAATAAAATTCGTTTAATACTCTACTGCCACTCACAAAATTTGTCCATTTTGCTCATTGGCTTATGGTGAAAGCACTTTCGAGCGAAGTGTAATTTTCGATTAATAACTTCCCAACGGAATATGATAAAAATACATTTTTATATATATATATGCTACAAATATTATTTTACGTTGACTGAATTTTTGAAATTTTTAAAATGTAGAAAATTTAATTTTTAAATTAATTTTTGAAATTTTGAAACAACGTAGATGTAAACATAAAAAAAATAGTTGTTCCAATGAATTGAGCGAAATCTGAAAAAATTATCGTAAGCGGGGTACGAGCATTTTCTCAAATTGTTAGAAGAGATACTTATTATAATGTCTTATAATGTCTTTCCGATATCAATTGAAGAACTAAGACCATGACAGTATGTACCAGGTTTGGTCGCTGACGCAGCAACTCGGCATTGAAATATTTGAAAAACTTGTTCCCATATTGATTTAGCTATACCCATATATAGGTCTGGTCGAACTAAACGTGCAGGTGGTAGAAATGTATACGCCCAGTTGAAGAATGCGCGTGCGAGCAAACGACGTTACGCACTGTTGCTCTGGTCGACTTCGTCATAAATTTCAGTTGTCGACAAGTAGCCTGGCAGTGCAGTGCAGCAATGCAGAATTTGGTGTGATTCATGTAATTTTAATTTATTATAGGCACCTTCTATTAATCATTGATATCACAATTGCGAAAGGGAGAAATAAGAGAGATTTTGGAGACCTTTTGAAACGGAACAAAACGAAATTTACCATAAATATAATAAAATTGTTTGAGGAGATTAATAACACAGGCCGACAAAATTTCAAAAAAAAAATTCCAGAGATCAGACACTACGCTTCCGAAGGCATTTGGCGCGCTGAATCCGAATCTGGCCTCAGAATTGATCCATCACCCTAGGTTTCCGAGATATTTTAACCTAAATGTGCAAAAAACACGTACTTTTGCCATATTCAAGGTTATGTAACTTGGCGAAAAATTTTTTTTTTCTTAAAACTGAACACATCATTGGAAACGACTATGTTTCCCCTTCAAAACGCATTTTTTTATTTGGAAAAAGCTCTATTTTTCGCGGAGATATCGTCAATTTAAGATAACCAGTGTGGCTATATTATTACATCATGGCTAACCCCATAACACTGAGCGCTGCTAGCCTTAATTGTTAGGAACGTTAACCCCAAGCCCTATAACCCCACAACACTAAGCGGAGCGAGCGCCCTCATCGTCAGGAAGGTTAACTTCAAGCCCTATAACCCAATAACACTAAGCGCTGCGAGCCCTAATCGTCAGGAAGGTTAACCCCAAGCCCTATATGTCTGGAAGGTTAATCCCAAGCCCTATAACCCCACAACACTAAGCGCTGTGAGCCCTAATCGTCAGGAAGGTTAACTTCAAGCCCTATTACCCAATAACCCATAATACCCATTAATTGTGTTATAGGTCGAGCCATGGTTTAATAAGGTAGCTATACTGATCATCTTTAATCGACGATATCTCCGCGAAAAGTAAAGCTCTTTACAAATAAAAAAATGCGTTTTGAAGGGGAAATATAGTAGTTTCCAATGATATATTCAGTTTTGAGAAAAATAATTTTTTTCGCCAAGTTACATAACCTTGAAAATAGCAAAAATACGTGTTTTTTGCACTTTTAGGTTAGAATGTCTCGGAAACCTAGGGTGATGGATCAATTCTGAGGCCAGATTCGGATTCAGCGCGCCAAATGCCTTCGGAAACGCAGTGTCTGATCTCTGGAATTTTTTCCTTGTTGGCCTGTGTAATTAAAATATATTAGAAAGTTTCTGTTAATTTGAAACTCATTAAATTTTATTGGTCAGCTTTTTATATGTTCAACTGACTTCGAAAAAACTTATAATACATAGTTCGAATTTGCTGAGGAAGATTTAATTTATCTCGGAAAATTTATATTCTTTTAATTGTTCAATTAGCATTTTATAAATATTCGGTACTCGGTACTCATACAGGGTGTTTGGTAAGTCGATGCATTCCTTGCAGGAGGTTATAGTACAAGTGATTTGTGATGTATTTCCTTAATATACCATATTCCGAAAACGCTTAGTTTCTGATCTACAGGATGATAAAGTTTTAATAAAAAAATGCAAATTTATAAATATTGCGGAAACCGTTCAGAATGTTTTTATGAAATTTTACAAGCTTAGACAAATAACAGCAATACAAGTTTTACGATAAAAATATTGTTTTTAGTTTTACCAGTGGCGTGAGCACAGGCACGTCTTTGGATATTTTTGATATGATACGCCACTGACTTTTCTTAAAATAAAAATTATTTTTCAATTCCTCGTTCAATTTGGAAGAGAAAAGGTATCTGTACTGTTTTCCTTATGGCGCACCGTTTTCGAGTAAAAAAAATAAAATCAATTTATTAGATGGCGTAATCCGGTTTCAATCATTTGAAAAATAGCAGAAATTGTGCACTCAACTTTTTTTTGTACCAATTTTATTACGAAAATTTTACTGATACAATTTTTTTATCAGTTTTTAGATTAACTATTCAGAAATTAGCAAGTTGGCTGTGCACTCGTTTTTGTTATTGTTTAAAAAAATTAATAATAGCTGTTACTTTGAGTGTTTGAGTGTGAAGTAGTTAAATGCATAATTTCTGCTATTTTTCAAATTATTGAAACCGAATTATGCCATGCAATAAATCGATTTTATTTTTTTTACTCGAAAACGGTGCGTCATAAGAAAAACAGTCAAGATACCTTTTCTCTTCCAAATTGAACAAGGAATTCAAAAATAATTTTTATTTTAAGAAAAATCAGTGCTGTATCATTTTTTTCCTTAACAATATCTAGAGACATGCCTGTGCGCACGTGACTGGTGAAACTGAAAACAATATTTTTGTCGTAAGACGTGTATTGTTGTTAACTGTCAAAGCTTGTAAAATTTCATTAAAATATTCTGAGCGGTTTCGGCAATATTTATAAATTTGCATTTTTTTATTAAAACTTTAACACCCTGTAGATCAGAAACTAAGCTTTTGTACTATAACCTCCTGCAAGGAATGCATCGACTTACCAAACACCCTGTATATTGACGAGTACCTAAACTTTGTTCAAGTACTCATTTTTTCAAATGTACTTTTGAAATGAGTGTTCACAGGTTTATGAAAACTTTTTAGCAGTACTCACTGGTGAAGTACTCATGAGTACTTTAGTGCGGTACTTTGTCTAGTTCTACTTAATAGTAATTATTTATGAAGTTACGTTTTAACACACACGAATGTTGGTATGAAAAAGCATATATGATGATTTAATTTGAATAGAATTTAGGCAAATTTTGAGATGCATTAGCTAAATATATCTTAGAAATAAATTAAAAGTACAAAAACTAATAATAAAAACTATAATAAAAAAGGAACTAAAAGGTTTGGCTAAATTTTAATGTCGAATTCTAAATCGCAAATCTACATAAGAAGTTGCTTATTTTTCTGGAAACGCTTTGTTTTTTATATACAGATTGTTGTTATTTAGTGAAAAATATGTGTGAACAAAATAAAGTAGACACATTTTGACACATTTAACAATAATTATCTGGATGTGGTATAACATTTAACCATTTCTTTAATGGTTCATTCTAGTAAGATGCAGCAGGTATACACTTTTGTAGTTTAATTTATTTGTACAATTTAAACTGTGAATATATTAATTGATTGTTAGAATGCACTAAAAAATTGTTAGAATTACGCCAAATCTATTTAGTATCAGTAATGCATACCGAAAGTGAAAGCTAGATATTGTCAAAACTTTATCTCAGTGGATCTATACATCTGCATCCTGAATGAAATAACTCCACATTTTGTTGCAACACGTCAGCACAGTTTTAATCTCCCCAAAATAATTGTCTCGTTTTAGAAGGACGTGTTTCAACGTAAGTCTTAATTAGATACCTAAGTTTATGTAGCAAATTATACAAGGCATATGTCTTTATTATATCATTTAGAGGAGATCGTTACCCAAATCGTTAAGGTAATAGGCAAGCACACGCGAATGATATAACAGATGTCGTATATCGATCGTTTTCAGTAATTAATAGCCATTGTTTGCACAAAGGGTTGTCCGTGTAGCCATACGCATTAATAAGGAAAACAAAAATGTTCCATTAGGGCGAAATATATCGGTTTTACCCAGCGCTGTAGAAATATTTATCAGACGGGAATGTCGGACCACAGTTCTCATACATGAATATTATGGTAAATGTGTGGGGTAGATGAGGTGTACGAATAATTATTGTAATGAATACGAATTTCAACGTGAAATAAGCAGAAAATTACGTGCTGGTCATAACATGAGCGAGTGAATAGAGGTGATTACACTTAAAAGAAAAATTATAATTGTACAGTACATTCTGACGTCAAAAAGGGTACCTTGGTCAATGTTAACAACAAAAAAGGTTCCTATGAACATAAGCGGCTTAGTTTTCGTCTTACAGTTTAGTTCAATTTACAGTTCAATTTTATCACTACATTAATTCAATATATAGTTTTACATTCAATAAATGTGACAAAAATAAGACAAAATACCATACGATTATAAATTACAAAATAATATATATGCAATAATTACAATAACAATTTCATTCTTGTATCTTATATGTTATGAGAAAGAACTTTTGCCTAAACTACATGTAAAATGCAGTTTGCGCGCAAATATGTCCCTTCTCAGATGGTAAATTTTGATAAGTAATTGATTGTGGCAGAATAAGACCTCAAAT